CACTGCTTTATCAACGGAGTTTATTAATATTCTACATATTTTGTTGTGATTTCAGCAGTGTTCACAGTATCTTCACCAAGAGTAGATTGTCTCAATAGATGTGTATAAGAGACAGCATGCATACGCCACCATGCTGGGCTAACTTGTTGTATTTTTAGTAGAGACCATGTTGGCCAGGCTGGTCTTAATCTCCTGACTTCAGGTGATCCACCCACCTCGGCCTCCCAAAGTGCTGGGATTACAGGTGTGAGCCACCGCGCCTGGCCCATCTGTTCAAATTTTATCATGAGAGTGCAGCAGTTCAGTCACAGCTTCAGGCTCCACTTCTAATTCTGGTTCTCTTGCTATTTCCACATCTTGAGTGATGACTTCTACTGAAGTCTTGAGTCTGTCAGAGTTACCCAGGAGGATTGGAATCAACTTCTTCCGATCTCCTGTTAATGTTGATATTTTGACCTCCTCTTATGAATCGCAAATGTTCTTAATGACATTAGGAATGGTGAATCCTTTCCAAAACGTTTTCAGTTTACTTTGCCCAGATCCATCAGAGGAATCACCAACTATGGACTTACAAAATGTATTTCTTTTTTTTTTTTTTGAGACAGAGTCTCGCTCTGTTGCCCAGTCTGGAGTGCAGTGGCCGGATCTCAGCTCACTGCAAGCTCCACCTCCCGGGTTTACGCCATTCTCCTGCCTCAGCCTCCCGAGTAGCTGGGACTACAGGCGCCCGCTACCTCGCCCAGCTAGTTTTTTTGTGTTTTTTTTAGTAGAGACGGGGTTTCACCTGTGTTAGCCAGGATGGTCTCGATCTCCTGACCTCGTGATCCGCCTGTCTCGGCCTCCCAAAGTGCTGGGATTATAGGCTTGAGCCACCACGCCTGGCCAAAATGTATTTCTTAAACAGTAAGACTAGAAATCAGAATGGCTCCTTGATCCATGAGTTGCAGAATGGATGTTGTATGAGCAGGCATAAGAAAAGCATGAATCTCCTTGTACCTCTCTGTCAGAGCTCTTGGGTGACCAGATGCATTGTTGATGAGCAGTAATATTTTGAAAAAAAAAAAGGCATCTTTTTTTCTGAGCAGTAGGTCTCCACAGTGGGTTTAATACACCAAGTACACCATGTTGTAAACAGATGGGCTGTGATCCAGGCGTCATTATTCCATTTATAAAGCATAGGCAGAGTAGATTTGCCATAATTCTTAAGGGCCCTAGGATTTTCAAAATGATAAATGAACATTGGCCTCAACTTTCAGTCACCAGCTGCATTATCCCCTAACAAGAGAGTCATCCTCTTCTTTGAAGCTTTGTTTCCTTTGTTTTGTTTTTTGTTTTTTGTTTTTTTTTCCTTTTTGAGACAGAGTCTTGCTTCGTTGCCCAGGCTGGAATGCAGTGGCATGAACTTGGCTCACTGCAACCTCTGCCTTTTGGGTTCAAGCCGTTCTCCCGTCTCAGCCTCCTGAGTAGCTGGGATTACAGGCATGGGCCACCACACCCGGCTAATGTTTGAAGGTTTGAAGCCAGACATTGACTTATCCTCTCTAGCTATAAAAGTTCTAGATGGCATCTTTTGCCGAAGGCTGTTTCATCTATTAGGTTGGTGCAAAAGTAATTTCTGTGGCAAAACCTGCAATTACTTTTGCACCAACCAAATGCATTCAAAGTCCATTGTTTGTTGAGGCCACCTTCATTGATTATCCTAGCTAGACCTGGATAAGGTGCTGCAGCTTCTCCATCAGCACTTGCTGCTTTACTTTGCACTTTTAGATTATGGAGACAGCTTCTTTCCTTAAACCTCATGAACCAACCTCTGCTAGCTTGAAACTTTTCTCCTTTAGCTTCTTCACCTCTCAGTCTCCATTGAAATGAAGAGAGTTAGGGCCTTGCTCTGGATTAGGCATTGGCTTGAGGAATGCTGTGGCTGGTTTGATCCTGTATCCAAACCAGTAAACTTTTCCCATATCAGCAATAAGGTTGTTTTGTTTTTTGTGTGTCCACTGGAGTGGCAGTTTTGATTTCCTTCAGTGACTTGACTGGTTCCAGAGGCCTAGCTTTCAGCCTGCCTTGGCTTTTGACATGCCATCCTCACTAAGCTTAATCTTTTTTACTTTTCAAACTCTGCTTGCAGCATTTGACTTAATCATTTCCAAATTTTGACTAGAAGTGAGAGATGTGCGACTTTTCCTCCACTTGACTATTTAGAGGGCATTGTTGGGTTATGAATTGGCCTAATTTCAATGTAGTTGTGTTTTAAGGAATAGGAAGGCTGACACAGAGGGAGAGAGAAGTGGGAATGATTGATCAGTGGAACAGTCAGAACACATGCAACGTTTCTTAAGTTCATCTCATACAGGCAGAGTTCATGGCACCCCAAATAAATTACAGTAGTATCATCAAAGATCACTGATCACAGATCACCATAATAGATACACTAATAATGAGAAATATTGCAGGAATTACCAAAATGTGACAGAGATACCAAGTTAGAATGCTGTTGAAAAGTAGCGCTGATCGACTTGCTTGACGCAGGGTTGCCACGAACCTTCAGTTAGTAAAAAACCAGTATCCGTGAAGAGCAATAAAGCAAAGCATAAGAAATGAAGGTATACGCGTATACAGAGTACTGAATTTTTGAGTGGCGAAATTCTCTTTAATGGTTGTGAGTTTCCCTAAGTGTGGATCCAGAGGCGATTTCAATAGTAGTGTCTGACTAAATCAAGGGAAGACTACTGCTTTCCATCCGGGATGAACTCAATTCTTAGAGCAGGCTTTGGTCTCTTACTGGGCAATTCAGTGGTTCACCCACATGATTATCTCTTTGTTAACAAGTGAAAATGTAAAGCTTCAGCATATCCATGTACCCTATTCTAAATTTACCCAATCTCTTTCTTAGCTTTTTTGTTCTGCCTGTCAAGTCCTTCTTGACTCAAGAGAGGTACCTTAAAGAGCTTGTACTAAATTTATTAATGTAAGAAACTACCTGACAATTGGATCCAGGATTGTTTTGTAATTCTGTTCTTGGCAAGAGTTTTTGTGAATCCCTAAATGCAGTTTATGAAAGTCCAAACTTATATATTCATTTATTGATTAATGTTTGCTACGATCTGAGATGTACCGTATAGGAAGGTACAAAACAGATGGAGGGGCAGGATCCATGTCTACTTGTGGAGACATGTATAAAACAAAGAATTACATATGGCTACATATATTAATCAGTGCTATAATGATTGATAGATGGAGGAATGGAGATGTGTGATCAATATATAGATACCTGGAAGAATGGAGGAGTGTGTATTTATACATAATGTATACATGTATATGTATCATTAATGGGGTACAGACAATGATCAAGTTTTTCTCATGGGGGTGAGGGCAACAAACTATTCCTAGAGGAGATAATGTTTATCTTGCATTTTGAAAGCCATGTAGAAAAATCAGGTAGTTCTAGTATCAGCTCAAGAGGAGACAGTGGTTATGTTCTCCTGCTTCATTTTTCTCCGTAGAACTTATCTCTGCCCTACGCTATATTGATTCATTCATTTCTTCAGTCACTCCCTCCCTCCTTCCATCATTCATTTATCTACCTTACTAGAATGTAAGCTCCATGAAGGCAGGAATTTGGTCTGTTTTCATTGCTCTGTTTCCTCAGCAACTGGAAAAGTGCCTGATCTATGGCGGGAATTTGAACTTGTGTGTATAGTGAATGAATGAACTTTGTGAGTAGTTGGTTTATTTATAATTTTCCTTTAGCTTATTAAGGATAGCTCCTTAGAATTTCCTCATAGTTTTGCTAGATTTTTTTATTATACTTGAATAATAATTTTTTATCATACTTGAGTCTCCTTGTACTTGAGTGATAACATGCTGCTTGTGCTTGAGTGATAACGCGCTATTTCCACAATGTTATCTCGTAGTATGTTTAGTCCCCATAATCTTGCCTGAACTGATACAAACTCTAATGGTTTTCGATGTCTATATGCGAAGTCCTCTTAAATTTTTGTTGAAAGAATGGGTCGGGTCCTTGCATGCTGACACTGCCAACACTGGCACTGTTATGTATTTAAAGTACAGAATTGGCCAGGCCATTTCTGTGCTTAAAAATCTCTAATGTTTCCCTCTCTCTGGAATAAAGTCTGTGCTTCTTAGGTTGGTACACACCTCTTCTATAGCTTGGCTTCAGCTGTGTGATGATGCATTTTCTTATCTCATAGTGGAATAAAAACGAGCCTATTCATTTTTCTTCATATCCGTTGTGTCCGGCATGTAATAAAGAATTCAACAAATGGTTTTTGAGTAAATGAGCGCGTGTAAGTGTATATGAATAAATGGCCACAAAAATGTTTGCTGCTTAGATAAAAGATGATATAAGTAAATGAATGCATGTATGTATGAACGAATGGCTGTGAAAATGTTTGCTGCTTAGATAAAAGATGATATAAAACTAACATAACACTAGCCTTTAAGAACAGCCTTTTCTTTATATAGCTGATTTGTCTTTCTCGCTGTTTAGCTGCTCTATTCTCTGTCCTCCCTTTATTCTTTGTCGAGGAATCCCTCTTGGCATTTACAATGTCATATTAGCAGTAATTCTAGTCCTCATGGCTTTCCTCTCTACGTGGCCATCTCTATACTGGATCTTCTCTGCTAGCTACTTTTCTTATTTTGTTAGGGATTTGTGTGTATGTGTGTGAGTGCATGTGTGTGTGTGTGTGTCCATACATGTGTGTACCTTTTTTTTTGTTTTGCCTACAAATTCCTACAAATTCAATTTGCCTACAAATTTAAGGTTTTGCATGTAATTCTGAAACTCTTAGGATTAAATGATTTCTACAGAACGCACACACACAGACAACCCTGAACTGTTTTCAAATTGAAATGATTTTGATTGTGCTGCTGTGTTTTTATAAATGTCCTCTCTTTTCCCTTAAATATTTATGTGCATTTAGATTGAAAATCTTCAAGAGCAGCTTAGAGATAAGGAAAAGCAGATGAGCAGCTTGAAAGAGCGGGTCAAATCCTTGCAGGCCGACACCACCAACACTGACACTGCCTTGACAACTTTGGAGGAGGCCCTTGCAGAGAAAGTGAGTGACTGTCCCCGACTCCACACGCGTTTTCTGCGTTCTCATTAATCTAAGACTGGGTGTAGGATACAAAAGAAATCCCTGTGGGCAAAAGGGAAAAGAACTGCTGTGTGCTCTTGCTGACATACGTAGTGTGAAGGGGAAAATTTTTTTTTTTTTTAAGATAGAGTCCCACTCTGTGCGCAGGCTGGAGGGCAATGGCGTGATCTTGTCTCACTGCAAATTCCACCCCCCAGTTTCAAGCGATTGTCCTGCCTCAGCCTTCCAAGTAGCTGGGATTACAAGCATGAGCCACTATGCCCAACTAATCTTTTGTGTTTTCTGTAGAGACGGGGTTTTGCCATGTTGGCCAGACTGGTTTTGAACTCCTGACCTCAAGTAATCCACCCACCTCGGCCTCCCAAAGTGTTGGGATTACAGGCATGAGTCCCTGCACCTGGCCAAATTGCTCTGATTTTCAAACTTCTTGAGTATCTGTTGACAGAAAGTTCTGATGATTTCTCTTTTCTTTACCTTCCTTTATATTTTAAACTCAATATATCAACATCTTTCCCATTCCCCCTTTTTGGTGTGTGAGTTGTGAGTTGTTTCCATTGCCTTGTAGGCGACATGTGAGTAATATATAGAGAAGAAATGTTTGATAGTTATTGCCCTTAGGGTGTATATGTAAGCTTTTAGTTACCTGGAAATTGAATAAACGGAAATATTCCAAAAGAATACTTTAGTGGTATCAAATACCAGTTGAGATTATAAGAAAAGAAACCTTGGGACGGAAATGAATAAAGCTACATCCTTGTTATGGCAAGATGAATAAGAAGGATGAATTATTTAGAAAGTGTATTCTGGCTGGGCACTATGGCTCATGTCTGTAATTGCAGCACTTTGGGAAGCCAAGGCAGGCGGATCACCTGAGGTCACAAGTTCGAGACCAGCCTGGCCAACATGGAGAAACCCCGTCTCAACTAAAAATACAAAATTAGCCAGGTGTGGTGGCACGCTACTTGGGAGGCTGAAGCAGGAGAATCACTTGAACCCAGGAGGCGGAGGTTGCGGTGAGCCAAGATCATGCCATTGCACTCCAGCCTGGGCAACAAGAGCAAAACTCTATCTCAAAAAAAAAAGTGGATTCTTTAAAAACTTACCATTGTCTTTTGAACATAGAAGTTTGAAATTTTATCAGCTAATAGCAGAATTACAGTCATATAAGTGCAAAAGGGAATTTCCTCACATCTTGATTTATTCTCTCATCAGGAGCGGACAATTGAACGCTTAAAGGAGCAGAGGGACAGAGATGAGCGAGAGAAGCAAGAGGAAATTGATAACTACAAAAAAGATCTTAAAGACTTGAAGGAAAAAGTCAGCCTATTGCAAGGCGACCTTTCAGAGAAAGAGGTTAAGCTCACCAAAATGGAATTAGTTTGTTTGCTTAATCATTGCACGTGTCTGTATGCTGTTGGTGTTTTCATAATGCATGTACAAAAGTATTCGATGGAAAATGTTCTTAATATTCTTTTAGCGGGCTTTTTGTGAATACCTTAAGGAATATTTCAGAATGCTTTGCAGAGACGTAGTGGATTGGTTCATTCATTTTCTAAGTGTTACTATATTTTATGTTGGTTTTTTACTTACTAATATTTTTATAGACCTAAAGTAACTGAAGCTCAGCTACATTTGGAGAAATAGTGTGCTAAAGATAAGAAAGTTGACAGATAAAAGGAATATGCAAAAGAAGGAAATTTTATGTATACCAACTATCAAAGAACACAACAGCTATTAAATTGGGTGACTTAATCTACTTGAATCTTGCTTTTGGAGAATCCTGTTAATATGACCTGAAGAGCAAAGATGCCTCATGCTGTGTAATCAGATGGTGGTAATGCATGAACTGTAGCATCTTTCTGTGGATTTTCCTTCTGATATCTTTAGGAAATGTTATGGAAGTTTAAATTCCTAATAGAATTTTTCTTTTAATAGGGAAAAATGTGATTTATTTATTTTTTTCCTTTAAGAGATAGCGTCTCACTCTGTTGCCCAGGCTGGAGTGCAATGGCGTTATCATAGCTCACTGCAGTCTTGAACTCCTGAGCCCAAGGGATCTTCCTATGTCAGTCTTCCAAGTAGCTGGGACTATACGTGTGCACTGCCATGCCCAGCTAAGGTAAAAAATTTTTTTTGTGTGAAGACAGGGTCTTGCTATGTTGCCCAGGCTGGTCTTGAACTCCTGGCCTCAAGTGATCCCCCTGCCTCAGCCTCCCAAAATGCTGGGATTACAAGTATCTGGCCGAAAAATGTTTTTTGTTTAAGTTAATGTAGCTACTGAGGTTTGACTACTTACATTCACAAAGCTTGATCTACTTTGGTTTATTTTGTAGAATGGGTATGTATTGACAGAACTCTTTAAATCACTGTTCAATTGGTATTTCTTGAGAATCCATCTTATTTGTTAAGAGTTGAAAGCTAGAGTTAATATTGTTTTATATTTCATGATGAATTTCCTTGAAATGGAAATATGTCAGCATTTGGTAATGGAAAGGAAATTACAGCTACCACGATAAATTTAAAATTTTAAATCTCTATTTTGTTTATAGTTATTTATTCTAGATGTGTGTTGCTTCTTTTAGGCTTCACTTCTGGATCTGAAAGAGCATGCTTCTTCTCTGGCGTCCTCAGGACTGAAAAAGGACTCACGGCTTAAGACACTAGAGATCGCTTTGGAGCAGAAGAAGGAGGAGTGTCTGAAAATGGAATCACAATTGAAAAAGGTTAAAGAAAATTTTTCACATTTTTTTTTGCTTTGCTTTAAATAAGAGCATAGCCTTGGCATGTTTATATGAAATAATTTACCAATGGAGTAATAATCCCCCAAACTTTAAAATACCATGTATACCCGAATTAATTATCTTAGCATTCTTATCCTACTTTATTTTATTCAAGGTAATCCCCCAAGTCTTTGAAAATTGACAGTTCAGAGAAAAATTAAAACATGCAGCTCCCTCGTGGGTGAAATATGAGACCACAGTGTAAAAATCTCAGTTACCTGACATTTTTCTTCCATTAGAATCAGACTTCTGCCGGGTGCGGTAACTCGTGCCTGTAATTCCAGCTACTTGGGAGGTTGAGGTGGGAGGATTACTTATGTCAGGAGTTGGACACCAGCCTGTGCCACAGAGTGAGACCCCATCTCGTAAAAAAAGAGAAAACGGTGGCTCATGCCTGTAATCCTGCACTTTGAGAGGCCGAGGCAGGCGGATCATGAGGTCAGGAGTTCGAGACCAGCCTGACCAACATGGCGAAACCCCGTCTCTACTAAAAACACACAAAAGATTAGCCAGGCGTGGTGGTGCGGGCCTGTAATCCCAGCTATTCAGGAGGCTGAGGCAGGAGAATCGCTTGAACCCAGGAGGCAGAGGTTGCATTGAGCCGAGATCACGCCACTACACTCCAACCTGGGCGACAGAGCAAAACTCCATCTCACATACACAAAAAAGAAGAATAAGTGAGAGTGTATTTTCTAATTTAACCTATGTAGTAAGATCTGAGACTCAGAACAATTGTTAAATATCCTGTTTCAGATTTTATCTCATTTTGGAGAATGTTAATTTCCTAGCATTTTTTTTTAAAAGACAGGGCACATGTTGTCAGAAAGTTTTTTTTACTTGTTATACTTTTAGTTTTTCATAGCAGCTTATGAGGCCTAGAATTTTGTTATCTTCACCTTCTACATTAGGATCTGTTTTTTGGTTTACAGCTTATGTGTAGATTTACATGAAGGACTATTTGGCATGTTTTCTTCTTGGAAACTATTACTGGTGTATTATTAGTGTTCTAGTTTACATTTATTCAAAAGCCTGTGCCTATCATTGACATTTTTAAAGTAGATTTCTTCTCTGTTTTGTTTGGAGTGGGAAATGACTGGTCTTGAGGTAATGATAATTGAAGTCATTTTTGACCTATTTATAGCTTAAGAATTTATATCCTGTATCTGAATATTGGCATTCCATGTCTTCAGTATGAGATAATGTCCTCAGAATTTATTAAGGAAAGGATTGAAACTCAACTTTTGAGATACCAGATTTTTTTTGGTCTTTTTTTCTTTGTTTTTTGGAGACAGGGTCTTGCTCTGTCGTCCAGGCTGGAGTGCAGTAGCATAATCATAGTTTTCTGTGACTTCAAACTTCTGGGTTTAAGTGATCTTCCTGCCTCATCTTCCCGAAGAGCTGGGACAGCAGACCCATGCCACGACACCTGGCTAAGTTAATTTTGAGACGGAGTCTCACTCTGTCACCCAGGTTGGAGTGCAGTGGCGCCATCTCGTCTCACTGCAAACTCTGCCTCCTGGACTCAGGTGATTCCCCTGCCTCAGCCTCCATAGTAGCTGGGTTTATAGGCGTGTGCCACTGCGCCTGGCTAATTTTTGTATTTTTAGTAGAGACGGGATTTCACCTTGTTGATCAGGCCGGTCTTGAACTCCTGACCTCATGATCCACCCGCCTTGGCCTCCCAAAGTGCTGTGATTACAGGCGTGAGCCACCACACCCGGCCTTTTGTTTTTTAAAATGGAGAGGTCTTGCCATGTTGCCTAGGCTGGTCTCAAACCCCTGCCTCAAGAGATCCTTCTGCCATGGCCTCCCAAACTGCTGGGAGCAAGACCACTATGCTCAGCCTTGAGTTATCAGAATTTTAAAAATGCTTAATTCTTTTTTTTTCCTTGTAGAGTGAAATACTTATTTCTATACTCTGATTTTTGTTGTTGAAGCTTTTAAAAATATTTTTAACCATTAATTTTCTTTCCCTTGATTATCCTACTCTTAAAACCATTTTCTCTACTTTTCTGTCTTCTTTTCTCCCTGATGCTTCTTACTGTCTTCAGCATCCTGTAATAGTGTGGAGCCTCTCATCCAAGCCAGCAAGTGGCCTCACCAGGTGTTGCCATAAAGTCTCAGTTGATAGTTTTTTTCTGGCTTTTGTGTGAATGACATTTTTATCACCCTATAGATAAATGAATATGCTTAACCTTCTCATCTCTCCCTTCCCGAAACAGGAACTCTAGGTTTTTTTTTTTTTTTTTTAAATGATTCCTCTCTGAAGTATATTGAGGTGACTACAAAATAGAAAACGTTCTCCAAGACCAAAATTTTTCCTCATACTTTGGAAAGTATTTGCGTTTCTGCTGCTTTTGCTTTGTTCTGTTCCTAGTGAGTTAATTAATTCAGGACTGCTTCTCGTTGCTTTTATTTCCACCATGTTGTGGCTTTTAGACACACCAGTTTAGGGTACAGTTTTGCTAACACATTAAATCATGTATCTGCCAATAGAGTCTTTTATAAAGGCCATGCTTAGCAACTGATGAAACCTGAAACAAAAGAAATTGGTAGAGGACTTAATCTTGAAAGTACCTCTGTTGCTTCCACAAAGCATTTAACAAAATTTACATGAACGTTTCTCTTTTACCCAAGGTACTTTGAATCAGAGCTTTCCTAAGTATGTATGTTTACCCCTTTAATAATTTTTGAAACCATTTTAAGGGACTGAATATGTTTTGTTGTTTATTGAATAAGGAAAAAACTTGTCTTAGTGTTTACTTTCTCATTAAATAGCTTATGTGGTGAAAATGTTGATTTCTATGGGAATATGATTATCTGCATGGTTTTGCAATCTTACATGTTTTACTGTAACATGTATGAAATATGAAAGAACAAAATCTGCCTCCAGTGTATGAGTATGAGTACTGAGGTTTTAATAATGTTAAAGGTAGGTATTTTCCAGTAGAACAAGGCCTGTGGATGGAGAGCTTAACCTTTAGCTCAGTATTTTAAGGAGGATTATTCACTGTTACGTCAGCTTCTCTTGTCCAAAGGTGACATTTTATACAAATATTGTTATTTCACTAAAGTTTGTAGCTTTTGCTTCTGAATCTTCTTGACCTTTTCACATTCTAAAAGCAAGGTGTATAGATGATGTGCATTTTTAAAGCATAGGTTAACGTATAGTTAGAACTTAATGGGTAAGAAAGGGGAGAAGAAAGTGAAGCCATGAAATTAAACACCTTCATCCAGAAAATGCCTTTCCTGTTGATACCATGATAAGTGACTCTATGGACAGAAGAAATACTTGCATCTTGAATTCAATGTCATATTCCACAATTTAGAAAACCATTTTATTTTTATTTATTTGTGTGACAGTCTTCACTCTTGCCCAGGCTGGAGTGCAGTAGCACAATCTGGACTCACTGCAGCCTCCACCTCCCGGGTTCAAGCAATTCTCGTGCCACAGCCTCCCAGGTAGCTGGGATTACAGGTGTGCACCACCACCCCTGGCTAATTTTTGTACTTTTCAGTGGAGACATGGTTTTGCCATGTTGGCCAGGCTGGTCTCAAACTTCTGGCCTCAGGTGATCCACCCACCTTAGCCTCGCAAAGTGATGGGGTGACAGGCGTGAGCCACTGCACCTGGCTTAGAAGTCCATTTTAAAGGGATGTTGATAACACTGATTTGAAAAATAATGCTTTTTTTGGAGTTTGTATTATAATTTATAAAGTTGTAAAGATCGTTAAGGTGGTTTAAATTTCTTAGAATTTTATTTTAAAGTACAAATTAACTCAGCAAGAGTTTAGATGTAAACTACTCTGATATAGAATTTGTTATCATAAGGGAAGGGAAGGTTTATAGTATCTTTTTTTTTTTGGCTTGATTTATTTTGTCTTTAAAGATTGTCATTTAGTATTCTTTTATTATCTTTATTGTTATTATTTTATTATTTTTTTGTAGAGGCGAGGTCCCACTATGTTACCCTGGCAGGTGTTGAACTCCTGGGCTCAAAGAATTCTCCCAGCTTAGCCTCCCAAAGTGCTGGGATTAGAGGCGCGAACCACTGCACCTGTGGCCTCATTTGATATTCTTAATCATCTTCTGGCTACATTTAATCGTGCACTTATGTTTCATTACTTATTAATTTCTCCTCTTCCCAGTCATTTTTCTTTTCCTGCCATTTAGACCTAGGGACTGTTTTAAATCAAATGGAAACTAGCCTACTGCTTTTGTGTATTCATTTTTTCTACAAATAATTGAGTTTTTACTCTGACAGTTACCACACTGTGCACGTGGGATATATAGTGGTGGACAAGACAGACCTGTCCCTTGACTCATAAAATTTATAGCCTCTATCAGGAAGATAGACACTTACGAAGGTAATTGTAGTAAATCACATGGTGTGAGGGAAGCTTATATCAAAGAGAACTAACCTAGGTCCAGGTCATGGAGTACCTCCTAACAGAAGTGACACTTTCTAAGCTGAGACCTCAAAGTAAGGACTCACTAGCATGTATGAAGGCCCAGAATGCTGATATGCAGTAGTTATATTTGTGGAGTTACAGTAAATAATTTATAATGAATTATTACAAATCAGAGTTATCTCAGTGACATTAAATAGCAGCTGGCCTTCACGTTTGTTTACACAGTCGTCTTTGTGCCCCTACATCAAGCTGCCTCCTGTTGTCTATTTCATCACCTTCTTTCTTTGTGGATACTAAGAGTTTTGTCAGTTACTTCTGCTTTTGTTTGCATCTGCAATCTCTTCCCCTTTGTTGTCCCCTCTCTTTATGTGTAATATGATCAGCTTTCTATTGAAATATCTCCTGATCTTGGTACTCCTTATACTCTTCTTTCCTCTCTCCTTTTCTGTTAGATATATTTGTAGCCTTCTCCCGCCCATGAAGGATTGACTGCTACAGGAATTTCCCTCCTACAATTAACAACTCAAAAACAGAAACCATGTGAAACAACTGATTTTAGACATTGGGCAACATTCAGTGCAGAACAGTGATCTCTTCTTACCTTCCAAACTTACATGATTTTTGTTTCTTAAAATATACTTCATATGTATATCAAGGTTAAGTGTTAGGGAAGCCTATATTTAAGACAGATAAAAGATTTTTTCTACACGTGTGAAGCCTTAAACAAATAAACTTAGGAAATGACTTGTCTTTAAAAGTGTAGCTGTTACTTTCACCAAGCGTTTTAATACAATTTATATAAACATTTCTCATTTACTCAAGGTACTTTGCTTCAGAGCTTTCTGAAATATTTCCTAAGAATATATATTTTCTCGTTTAATAGTTTTTCACACCATTTTAAGGGACTAAATATATTGTCTATTGAATAAGAAAAAATAAAACATGTTAGCTTTTGTCTTCTTATTAAATACGTTATACATACATGGCTTTAGAGATTCCAGAAGACAATTAAGGACTTGAAAATTAGTTTGTAATTATTGAAACTGTTTTGTATTCCAGAATGCATTAATAATATTAGTTGACTTTTATAGGATCCTGAATAAAAATTTTTTTCAAACTAGCCGGGCGAGGTGGCGGGCGCCTGTAGTCCCAGCCACTCGGGAGGCTGAGGCAGAAGAATGGTGTAAACCCGGGAGGCGGAGCTTGCAGTGAGCTGAGATCCGGCCACTGCACTCCAGCCCGGGCGACAGAGCGAGACTCCGTCTCAAAAAAAAAAAAAAAAATTTTTTTCTCAGATCTTAGTGTGGTTCTTTTAGAAAAATTTTTTTTTAAACAATTTTTTTTTCCAATAGAGATGGGGCCTTGCTGTGTTGCACGGGCTGGTCTTCAGCTTGTGGCTGCAGGCAGTCCCCCTGCTTGGGCCTCCTATAGTGCTGGGATTACAGGCTCAAGCCACAGAGCCCATCCTTAAGTGCGGTTCTTGATTTCTGAATTCATTTGTTTGTCCCATGTTATTTTGTAAATTCTCTAGTCCTTGCATGAGGGAGGTACCTGTGTGATGGTAGCAGCTATTTTCTTAACCTAACTCACATTTTTATGGCATCACACTCACAGTATCTGTATGACTCTACATGCCGAAGGCCATGTGATTCACACGTTAGGTAAAGCAGCATCTAGGAAATGGAAATGGAAGTTAGGGTCTAGTGGGAATTAGGTCTCTGCACTGGTCCGGCTATACGATCAGCAGTGAGTCCCTGGTGTAGCCTTTTGATATTATCTTGGAGGGATCAATAACAACAGTCCAATGACTTGTTAGTTTGTCTCAGTAAACTCTGCAGCATCTTTTGGCTTATGATGATTTTTGATTTAATAATACTCAGAGATGTATTATTTAAAACAACTAATCTACTTGGAACCTAAGATAGTTCTCCATTTATTACTAATATTTGTCTATATAATACTTAAGCAGATAAAGACCTTATAAATTGCAAACTAGCTGTTAGGTATTTGATAATTCTGTACTTAAATTGGAATATAAATCATTATTTGGGACATGGTTTGCCCATTGCCACCTGTGTGTATCTGATAGGATTGAAATGCTTCTCTCTGTAGGCGCATGAGGCAGCACTGGAAGCCAGAGCCAGTCCAGAGATGAGTGACCGTATACAGCACTTGGAGAGAGAGATCACCAGGTACAAAGACGAATCTAGCAAGGCCCAGGCAGAAGTTGATCGACTCTTAGAAATCTTGAAGGAGGTGGAAAATGAGAAGAATGACAAAGATAAGAAGATAGCTGAGTTGGAAAGGTAAGAAAGGGAAGCTGATTGGGACTCGTGAGGTTAAAGTATGGTGTTAAAAGTACACTTTTGGGGACATACTTTTTCAGTATCTGACTCTGAATTTAGGTTCTCGAGTTCTTGCTATTACTGTATTAGCTGCATTTTTCTCTAGGTCAGTGTACGTTCTCTGTTGCGGTATCTAAAAGGCAACATAGAATGGGAATAAACTGGGAAGCTGTGGACTGTAACATCATTGATTGGCAAAAGAGAAAGTATTCATTAATTTAAAATTAAAGTTTTTTTTTTACTGGCAAATCAAGAGAGGACAGATGTCTACTTTTTAATTTCTGTATGTAATGACCAAATGATCCTCAAGCATAAGGAGTTAATCTTTTATCACTGGTTTAGACCTTTGTTGTTGAGCTAATGCTCTCTTGGGCTACAAATTTTTAGACTTTTCACAGTTTTTATTGTTGAAAAACAAACTGTTACTTCAGTGCATTAGATCAAAATTAGGAGGAGAGACACTTTGAGGACAATTTAGGAGCCACGAATGTGTTTTTTATGAAGCTGTCTCTGACTTGGAATTCTTTAAAATATTCTGTGTTTGAACAGATCTAGGCAGACAGGTCTCCTAGAATTTTTTTGGTGTGTTTTCTTACTATTTTATGCTAAAGGTCAAGCATGTGCCTCTTGACCTCTTCTTTTACACCACATATTTAATATAAATTTAAAAGTATGCAGAAACAACTCTGCCAGTAGAACTTTATTGATCACCTATATTCTGAACAGCCAGAAAGACTGACAGTGACAGAACGGCGTCACTAATCTACTTGGCCTTTTGGGGACTGATCCTTAAGAATATATTTTTTTAATGATCTTGAAGGCTGAGAAGTGTTAGAGTACTTCCATAAATTTTTTACTAAGTTTTAAAGTTTTGGGGTTAGTGGTAGACTTGATATTGTCCTCTGAAGTTATTATTTTTTCCTATTCTGTAGTCATAGAATTTTAATTTTCAAGAAACCAAAACTATGAAGTCTAACCTTCACAGTTCTCCTTCACTGTACTGAAAGTGTAAATAACAGGACTGATTACCTGGTCACTTACTTCCTTTTATTTTGATATTAACTCTACTCGTTTTGTTCAGTTCTGGGTGAGACATATGGATAAAATTTTTTAAGTCAGAATTTTAAAATTAAAATAGCCTCAAGATTAGATTATGTGCGTTTGTTTTGTCCTCATTTTTATACTGCACCCTTCCTTGCAACACACACAGGCATGTGTATATACCCCTCACCCCTTATGCACTTACGTGAATACATGCCTCTCTTTGCTTATGGAAAGGCCTGGAATCTGCAGCAGTACTGCATAGATATTAAAATGTGGTGCTTTTGATTGATTAGTGACTTCCCACTAAATATATTTCAGAAAAGAAATTCCTTGAATAAGTTTTATGGTTTAATTTCTTATAAGAAATCTACGTTTGAAATTACTGCTTGCTATTCCAGGCAGCTTGCTTGGAAACGTTTTTGATTCATTTTTGGCGCCAATATTGATTTTTGGGAGATGGATGTGAACCGAAGGAGAGTAAGAAATAGGACCAAGTCTGTATTTGATATCCAAAGCACACCAAATAGCAGCTTTTATTAGTCACTATATTTCTCGCATTTTGAGAAAGAGTTGTAAATGATTTACTCTTTCCACAGAATGTAACTGTTATAAAAGTTGGAAAAAGCACTGTACATTTCTGTCCTCTGGCCCTATAGCATTATAATTTTGTTTTAGGATTTAACACAGTTTCTTGGCTACTGGAGGAAAAAAAAAAGAGGAAACAGCTTTCATAACTCAGCTTTTGCTACCAGCTTTGTAATTTGTTACTTGGTAACATAGTTTAAGATGTTAAATAAACAGTAGAATCATAGAATTTGTGAAAGTGATCTAGCATGGCATTTTATGGAAGAGGAAACCGAGGCCCAGAGAAGTTATTGCTGAAGTGACACAGTGGTTGAGCCAGGGCTAATCGAATGGGGTTTGTAAATTCCAAATCAATTTTCTTTCTGTTCCGCCAAGGTTAGTTATGTTCTTTTTGGACTTCCTGGCAACTGTTATTTGAAGGCTGCCTACCCTTAGGTGATTTATTCTTTTACCCCGTCTGGACCCAATGTCTTAAGTAGAAGTGGTTATATTTAGTACTATGGCTTGCTTACAAACTAAGGTAGATTGTAGTTTTCACTTATGCCCTTGAATGCGACTTTTATAAACTGAGCTCTGCTTGTTTTAGGAGATAATCAGTGCATTCTTTGTCAAAGACAGTTGGGATTATATTTTATCTCTTGTTCCCAGATTTAGTACTGATTTGCACGTGTGTGGCCGCTGTGTTTCTTACTAATCATTTGCTTCTTGTGTTGCCATTTCACTATTTCCTGTGTGTGTGTCTGGCTCCCTGTAATTTATCATTTGAGTTTCTTCATTTTTCTTTTTGTTTTATCATGGTCCTGTTCCATTGGGGTTTTTGGTGTCTGTGTGTTTATATGTGTATGCTCCTTCTGCCCCTTGTCCGTGGCTGTTTCTCAGAAAGCCAGTCTCCTACAGATTGTACCCTCCGTGCCAGGTTTCTGTCGCTGTACCATCGGGGGTTTGGTTCGGGACTTCCTGGGACAGTGAGCGTTATGTAAGGCTACAGTCTTACACTAGAGTGAATTGCTGCTGCTGCTCTCGCTACTCCTGGGGCTTGTTTGGAATTGTGCTTGATCAGAATTAAAGAACAGCTGATTATATGTCAAGTTGAACTATACCTCTTTAGGTACCTTACTTTTTGATAAAATCGGTCTGTGTTCATTCTGGTAAAGTTCTGATAATGCTGGTTGTAATTGTTTTAGTCTTTGTTTCTAGCCCACCTTTTATTTAGTTGTTCTTATGCTGGAATACTCCTTAAATAGCTCCTCAACTAATGTGACTGTGGTGCCACACTGTAGATTCAGCATGTAGAATTAATTTCTTAAGGGTGTTCAGCTACCCACTAAGTGCAAAAATAAAAGGAGACTGTTACAATAATTGAACTCAAGAAAATCCTTACTATTCTTTGCATTTTATAGTGCTTCTTATAAAAGGATCTCCAATATTAAATGGTTCAGATTGTATTATGAAGGATTCCCAGGCCTGTTGTTTGTGATCGAAAGAAATAAGTGAATAGTTCCTTCCCATGTTGGCTGTTACAGAAAATAGTAGTTCTTGTCAGAAGATGATTTAGTGTTGTACTACTCTCTTGACCCCCTGAAATTTTAAAAAGAGGATTGGGTAAGCCCACTAATACATCTATAAATATAAAATATTTCCCCAATTAAATCTAAGAAGTAGTACTTCTAAATTCACATTCCGTACTGTGGTGCATATTAGTTGGAATCCAGTGAGAAGCAGAATTAGTAGGGTGTATATATAAAAATATACACACACACACACAGATAAATACGTATATACACACACTCATATATAAACACACACAGAAGCATACATGTATTATGAGATTTATATGTGTATTTGTACATATAGTGATATATGCCTACATATATTAAGAGATTTATTGCAGAGAATAGTCTTGTAAAATCGTGGGGCTGGCTAAACAAGACTGAAATCCCTGTGGAGGCTACAGGAAGAGAAGAGCATGAGCAGGATGGAACCTGTTGCAGCCACAAGCCAAAGCTGTGGTCCACAGGCAGAATTTCTTTTCTCTCCTGGGGAAACCTCAGCCCTGTTTTAAAGTCTTTCCAAAGGATTCATTTATGCCCATTGGGATTATCTAGGATAGTCTTTTTTACTTAAATTGATTAGAGGCTTTAATTATGTCAGCAAACTACCTTCACAAGCACCATCTAGATTAATATTTGATGGAGTAACTGGGCACTGTAACGTAGACAAGTTAATATTTCAGAAGTCATCATTTGGTGGTTCTGGATAGTATAGGAAAAAACAAACACATCAGAGCTTGAAAAGTCATTAGGTAAGTAGATAAATTTAGATTAACCTCAGGAACCCTGAATGTAACTGAGAATTTCTCTCCTAAAATGAGCATATTAGAGTTTCTATTTAGATTAATAGTGAGTAGGCTTTTCTTTGGTATAATGTTAAAAATGCTTAGAGTGACTGGGCGCAGTGGCTCAGCCGGTAATCCCAGTACTTTGAGAGGCCCGAGGCAGGCAGATCACCTGAGGTCAGGAGTTCGAGACCAGCCTGGCCAACATGGTGAAACCCCATCCCTACTGAAAACACAAAAATTAGCCAAGTGTAGTGGTGCATGCCTGTAGTCCCAGCTACTCCAGAGGCTGAGGCAGGAGAATCGCTTGAACTCAGAAGGCGGAGGTTGCAGTGAGCCGAGATTGCGCCACTGCACTCCAGCCTGGGCAACAGCGAGACTCTGTCTCAAAAAATAAATAAAATAAAATAAAATAAAATAAATAGCACTCAGAAGTGTACTGGAGGCTGATACAGAATTGTTTGCTGTCTGCTTTTTCACTCATACTGTCCCTTTTGGCTGAATGTGCCCATGTTATAGCAACACACTGGGAACATTGTTCCCCGTGCCATATATTGTGTTGTGCCTTATAATTTTGCTTTTTAATGTGCTTTGTTACCTTTTTTCTAATACCATAATGACTAATGGATTCACGGAGCTTAGTGTTTGCAGCAGAAATCTTCAATTTTACTCTAATATAAGATTGTTAGATTCAATAATGCCCTTCAAAACTTGTATTCAGAGAATGGCAACCATCTGATTTTCGTATAATTTAGATAACAAAGGTTGCCTTTGGTTTATCAAAGTTAGAAATTTTCAGTGATCCAAGGAATAATAGAGTCTTTTATTGTGTGATCTAAAGATTAATAGGAATTGTAGATTTACTATATTTCCTGATTTGAGGGAATATACGAACCAGGATTTTAATGGATGTATATGTTTTGGAGGGGTGTGTTTAGAAATTTAGTCAAGGGATTATTTATGGAATAGTCGAGAAAGACCTGTCTGATACAGTTAC